GTCAGTGAGTCAGTCAGTGAGTCAGTCAGTCAGTGAGTCAGTGAGTCAGTCAGTCAGTGAGTCAGTGAGTCAGTCAGTCAGTCAGTGAGGCAGTGAGTCAGTCAGTCAGTCAGTCAGTCAGTGAGGCAGTGAGTCAGTCAGTCAGTGAGTCAGTGAGTCAGTCAGTCAGTCAGTCAGTGAGTCAGTGAGTCAGTCAGTCAGTGAGGCAGTGAGTCAGTCAGTCAGTCAGTCAGTCAGTGAGGCAGTGAGTCAGTCAGTCAGTGAGTCAGTGAGTCAGTCAGTCAGTCAGTCAGTGAGTCAGTGAGTCAGTCAGTCAGTGAGGCAGTGAGTCAGTCAGTCAGTGAGGCAGTGAGGCAGTGAGTCAGTCAGTCAGTCAGTCAGTCAGTCAGTCAGTCAGTAAGTAAGTAAGCGACAGAGAAATGATTTCTGGAAGTCCTACTCACCACAGTTAGCTTCATCAGAGTAATCCCCACAGTCATCCATGCCGTCACATTTCCACTCCAGGCTCACACACAGCCCATTGGCACACTGGAAGGTGTAGGCGTCACACACTTTGCCAAATTCAGATGATGTGGCTGCAATACATGAGAATAGTGTTCTACCATTTTTACTACATGTTTCTTCTTCATAAAAAATCAAGTCAGCTGTTTGATGAATGTTTCTGATAACAGATAACAGATATTCATGACTCATCTGCCAGAGAAGCCAATCATTGACTTTTACACCGTTTCATGTTATTGTTATTTTTCCTCAAACCAATCTGAATGTATTTCCTGTTTTAATAATTATTGTTGCTGTTGCTCACCACATTCAGCATACTCCACATCTTCATCAGACCCATCTTCACAGTGTTTGATGCCATCACAAACCAGGGACTGGAACAGACACTGGGCTCGGTTCTTACACACAAACTCCATGTAGCGAGTACACAACGGGTCTGTGGGGGAAACACAAAGAACCTAAAATGGGTGATTAAAGCTAAAAAAACACAACACTATCTAAAACCTAAAAGTAGCAAGAGGATAACTAAAGACAGCAAAGACAACTAAAAGCTAAAAGGAGCCAAAGCTAAATGATGCAGTGGTAGCTACAGTTAACAAAAACCTGTGTTATTCATCTTTTAGCGCTTAGCTAAAAGTAGCAAAATAGTAATTAAAGGAGCAAAAATTACCTAAAGGTAAAAAATAGCTAAACGCTAGGTAGAAAAAGGGTCAGACAGCTATAAGACAGTTGGACTTATTTGGATCTACATGAAATAATGCTGCAGGATGAAAATGATTAATTCCTCCCAACTAAAAACAGACTGTCAATTATTATTTACGCTTTGTTTTTCAGTCCTGCCTTGTTGCTGCGTTGACATCTGAAGTTCCACATTGTGGCATTAATAATCTCATCTCATTACATCTTATCTAAAGTTAAAAATAAAACAAGGCTAGTTAATAGTTTGGAGCAGAAAAATGAGAAATTATTCTTATCTCATAATTATGACATCTTGTCTCGTAAATATGAGATATTATCTCATCATTATGAGAAAAGATGTCATCTCATAATTATGAGATAATATCTCATGAGATATTATCTCAAAATTATGACATCTTGTCTCATAATTATGAGATAATATCTCATGAGATAATATCTCATGAGATATTATCTCATAATTATGAGATAAGGTCTCATAATTATGAGATGACATCTTTTCTCATAATGATGAGATAATATCTCATAATTACGAGATAAGATGTCATAATTATGAGATAAGAATAATTTTGAGATAATATCTCATGAGATATTATCTCATAATTATGAGATGACATCTTATCTGAGATAATATCTCATAATTACGAGAAAAGATCTCATAGTGTCCCAAGGGGGGCCTTGTGGGGGGTTATCCGGGAGTATGGGGTACCGGGCCACTTGATACGGGCTGTCAGGTCCTTGTA